GGGGGGGGGGGGGAAGAAAATAATACGCTCGTGCAGGTCGCGCGGAACAGCCGCGGTAACGTTAGAATGTGTGAGCGTGGATATTTTTGCGCGGATAGAGCGGCGAATAATTCACCGTGGGTAACTCTGATAAAATCGAGCGAATCGGCTTGGGGCGAATCTTCATCCTACTTTGGGTAATCGAACGGCTGATTGGAAACTCCGAAATTTTTTCTATGGAGATTACAGCGATATATATGCATATATATGAAATATATATGTATATATATATATATATATATATATATATATATATATACATACATACATATATATATATACACATATATATAATATTAATAATATAATAAATATTATTAATACAAAAAAATATATATGAATAATATAATATGTAAATATATAAAAAAATATATATATGTATATATATATATATATATATATATATATAGGGTGTTTTTAAAGTCAGTTACTACCCCCATTAGTTAAAAAATGGTTGAAAATTCCGAAAAATTGCAAAACACGTGTTCAATCATTTCATGGGGCTACTTTTTTAAGGGGGTAGGGGACACTCAACTTTAAAATTTTAAACGGAACTCCCTATTTTTTTATTGCATATTCTTATAGCTTATCTCGAGAGCTTTTCAAAACGCTATAATAGCGTATTTTTTTGTTAAGTATTTTTCGAGTTATGAGGCTTGAAAGTCATCGGCATGTGCCGATATGTGCACACACAAACGGCGCGGCGAATGCCTCAAAGAATGGTCAGAATCTCTTCCAGTGCTAATAATATCTTCTCTTACTGTTGACGCTGTTGCGTCTACAATTTGGCATTACTGACCACTTTGACCAACGGAGTTGATAATTTGATTTAATTTGTAGTTTTTTCAAGTGATATTTGCTTGTTGATTGCATTGATCACTGTCAAAAAATACTTTATTAAGTGTTTTGTAAAGCTTTCGAGACAAGCTATAAGAATATGTAATAAAAAATAGATGGTTTCATTTAAAATTTAAAAATTGCATGTCTCCTTGCACTTTCTTGGGGGCAGTGATAGAAACTTTGCTCCTTAAGCAGCACGCATCAACACGGGAGGGGATACGCACACACTCACGCGATCGTGAGGCTCATGGACACGGTCGCGTGAGTGTGTGCGTATCCCCTCCCGTATTGATGTGTGCTGCTCGCGGAGCAAAGTTTCTATCACTGCTTGGGGGGTGACTCCCCACCCCCTTAAAAAAGTAGCCCCCTGAAATAATTGAACACGTGTTTCGCAATTTTTCGAAATTTTAAACTGTTTTCGAAATAATGGGAATAGTAAAGGACTTTGGAAACATCCTATATGTATATACAGAATGTTCTGTATATACTCATAGAGGAGTCACGGTGTGCAGGTAGATTAAATCAAATTGAACAAAAAATTTCTTTACGATTTTGCGAACAACTACATAAAATTTGGAGTTATTAATCCAAGAAGATTCGTGAATAATCACGCGCCATACGGTAGATGAGCTGTGATGATGACTTTGCTACTGTATGCTTATATATTAGGTCAAACTGAACAAAAAAGTCCTCTACCATTTTTCAAATAACTACGTAGTAGATGTTTAGTTATTAATTAAAAAAAAGGTTAGTGCATTATCTCGCGCACAAATATATACGAAATTTCCTTGATTAATAACTAAACATCTACATAGTTATTTGGAAAATGATAGGGGGGAGAGGACCTTTTTGTTTAGTTTGACTTAATATATAAACATGCAGCGACACACGTCGCTATTAGATCTACCGTATAGTACGTGATAATTCACGAATCTTTTTTGATTAACAACTTAGAATTTTATGTGGTTGTTCGCAAAATGGTAGAGGAATTTTTTGTTCAGTTTGATCTAATCTACCTGTACATCGCAGCTTCTCTGTGAGTTACCGGACACCCTGTATATATTTGTCACCGATCCCTTATCGATTATAATACAGTATTACGATTCCGGATTTCGAGAAATTCGTCGCCTTAGATGAGAATGAACAATTGGTCCAATCTTAAGTCGAGCTTGGGTCAACGTTAAAAAATCTTGGGCCAAGCCTGCTTGCCGTAATTGTCAAATTCGTCCATTATAAGACTTTGACGTTATAATATTGAATATTGTACATTGGTTCAACCTTAGCTGAGTAGAAATGCCGAAGTTTGGCTGCACTATGACTCAAGCTTGGGCCCAGAGTCGGCCCGAGTTTGGCGCAATGTAACTGGCATGATACAAACAAATTTCGTCACGTTCGCTCAGCCAAACCTGGGCCAAGTTTGGACCGACTTTGCGTCTAAGTTTCATCCAAGACTTAGCGGTTTGGTCCATGCTTAGTCCAGGCTGACACAATAGTTCAACATTGGCGATTCTTACTTGGGCTTGAAATTTTGCGCATGCACGCACGCGATTTTGTCCAGAATTCCACGTGACGTTCGCAGTTGTGCGATGCAAGCCGATTCTTTTTTATGATTTACGTTGGACGAACGATGTTTCAGTACCGGCTGAACTACAAGATCAACTCGCTTCCTTACACGGTTATCTTCGCGCAAGCGGCGGGCTTCAAGGTAGCATGGGAATTGCCGACCACCGGTGGGCTTCGAGTCGTCCGGTCTGCCTCTGACATTCGCGAGCACGCTGAGCTCGTGTATGAAAGGTAATAATGAAAGTACTGTAATAGTTCTTATATAATGCAAGTCTGTTGGCAGTCGCAGGAAAGTGAGAAAGATACTGGTAAAAGGTCGAGGTGTGTCGCGTTAAGTATCGTGAGCAAAATAAGTGGATAATTGCTTTTATTATCGCTCGATGACAAGCCTTCTATGAAGACGTAATTAGTTGCCAAAATTATGACTAAGTATATTAACATTAATTGCAATGTAATAAAAAAAATATAATGAGTATAGTGATAAATATAAAAAAAAGAAAAGGCATAAGTTACAAAAACGCTAGCAAAGAAAAAGAGAACTTAAAATCAAATAAAATTATAAAACAACAATGCAAACATAAAAGTCGCTATTCCAGTAGAAGAAGATACGCAAGAAATAATAAAAATAAAAATGAAACGAGTTGAAAGGTAGAAAGAGAGATCGGAAGGACACGGTTGAAGGGTGGTAGTGGTAGTCGGAGTTGGTCGGCTAAAACGAGAGGTGACACGGGTGGATTTCTAGCTGACTGACCGAAGACTTCCGCCACCACTAGAGCGGGGTCGAATAGTAGCCAATGTGCAACGGCATCAGTGTACGTCGACCTCTTCTGGTGGTCTTCGCCCGCAGCTTTTCAAGCGCGATCGGAGGAGTTGACTTACGCGTCGAACGCATCGGTGTCCCTCTAATGACTAGACATGTTGAAACATCTCGAAGATCGATCGTGTTTCGTGTAAACATCTGGAGACACATGAAATGACGCAGAGAAATGAGAGCGTCCGTTTCTTTGATTATTTTTTCTTTTTTATAGAATGAGTAAATAGAATCAGTAAATGATAGATTAATCTGTTTATTTTGCTGATTAAAATATAAAATTATAAAAGAATAAATTATTTTTTAATTAACTCAGAGTTAGGATGTTTTATTGTAGAAATGTAGTGTTATTTTAATAAACGAATATATCAGATAGATATAAGTAATATTTTAAAAATTTGATTGGAAAAGTGATTTTAGTATAAAAAATTGAAAGATTTTATTATGAAGTACTAGAATAAACTTAGATGAAAATTCGGCTGTTTCTTTTGAGATAAATAAATTATCATTGGATATTAAACAAAGTAGAGATTAATTGAAAAATATTATATTTACTTTTAAAAATATATTAATTTTTAGAATTATATATATATATATATATATATATATATATATATATATATGATATGTATGTGTGTGTATATTCTATACTATGTGTGAGAGAAAAAATATCTATAAAATAAAAGAAATATTTATTTAGTGAATATTAGTAACACATTTACCTAAATTTAAATTATTTGATTAAAAAAAATCTTTAATAAAAAGCTATAAATTAAAAAATGTATAAATGTAAAAAAATATATAAAAATATATAGTTTCTCATTTGAAAAAAAATTTTTCAGTGTATATATACATATATATATGTATATGTATTTTAGATAATTTTTCTCTTAGTATGTGTATAAATAAATAAATAAATATATATATATATTTTTTTTTAAGAATTTGCTAGGATATTATATACGGGATATTATATATCTTTAAAAATTTGTCAGGACTTTGAAAGATTAAGAATCTCTAATCTATTTCAAAATAAATTACACAGTTTAACAAAAAAAATCTGCGGCGACAAAGGCCAATATTTCTTAGTAAACTCGAGTCGCTGAAGTTAAATCTGTCAGTAAAAAATGCCCATCACGTTAGGTTTTTAAGATAAATCAAGTAATACGGATAAAAATCAGCATTTTTTGATATATTTACCAATTTTTTGTTATCAAACGAAATTTAATTTTTCAATTTTATTGATGCCACTTTAAAGTGGCACTTAATGTATTTTTAAAAATTTTTATTTTTTTAAAAATCTGCGATTTTTTTTTATAGACTTATAAACATTTTTTAAAGTGTAAATAATGTCGGATCCAAATTGGCTGATTGAAACTGAAAAGTAGATAGATTTGTATGAAAATGGCTATGAAGTTAGGGTTTTCGGGGTTGCCGAATCTGAACTCAAACTGACGAAATTCAAAATGGTAGACTCAACGTGGAGTTTTAACGGAAGAGCTTAAAAGTTAGGATTTATAAAAGTGTAAAATTTTACATTTTGGAAAACGTTCATAACTCGGTGAAAAAAAATCACACAGTAAAAAATAAAAATTCGTTTTAAAGGTGAAGAATAGTACTTTAAAGTGGCGTCAATGAAATTGAAAAATAAAATTTTGCTTGACCATAAAAAATTAGAAAATATGGCAAATCCAGTTTTTTTTACACATATTACTAGATTTATCTCGAAAACCTGACATGATGGGTATTTTTTGCTGGCGGATTTGGACTCAGCGACGTCGAATTTACTAAAAAATAGTAGCTGCGATCACTGCAGGAAAAAAAAGTCAAATTTTGTCGGATAATGTTATCGAAGAACGAAATTTTTGAACTTACAAGAAGCTGTAGATTCTGAAATAGAGACGAATTCTAAAATTTTCATAATTAGCATTTCAATTTCATCCCGATCGTGTTTGATAAATCGATTGATCGATAGAACTTGCATAATATTTCAGTCACGGCTTCAACGGTCGCTCTTGTCTGCTGAAGAGCATCTGTCAAGTGTCGCAGTACACGAAGGGGCAGAACGGTGTTGTAAGGAAGATATTGACGCTACTCGCGGGGTGAGTGCTAGTTACCGTTAATAATATCAATTGTACACGATCGCCGCGTTAATTGTCCGTTGCTTGCAGGTCGTATATTAATAACAGCACTTGGCATGAGGATCCGTTGCTCTGCGAACGTCACGCCAGGGACTGCCCTTTGCAACTGATCGGGCTGAATAGTTTTACAGAAAGTGCCGTATGATCACCTGTATTCTCCGTGTCGCTGCTCATTTGTCGCGTGTACCACGATCCCATGATCGACATGCATTTATATTTATTCGTTTCACCCGCGGCAATGGACCAACGTGTAAAATGATCCGAGTCCCATATCTCGTTGCCTACAGTCCCGCCAATCGATCGTGTTCCCATTCGCAGCGTTATTGTCAGACGACATGGTGAGTAATGACGGCGGTTAATGAAACATTTGTCATTCTGCAAAACCGCATTCGAATTATTCCCGGAGATTCCAGCTTAGCGAGTAGTAAAATATGACGGCGCGTCAGCCGACTAAATGTAGTAAAAATATACGTCTCGCTGAAGACTGGACGAGAGAGGGCGGTCGGACGGGCGAAGTACGCATTGCAAAAAAAGGGCGAGAGGATATTTCTACCGGGGGGCGTTATATACGTTCTGGCCCTCAGCGAGCCATTAATTTGTCTTCGTAATGGTCACTGTGGAAAAAAAATATTTGTCGTTTTCGTGCATTATTCTTGCCCCCCGTTTTCCCTCACCCCTCTCTCCCCCTCTCTCTCTCTTTCTTTCTCCATCTCTCCATGTCCTTCGTCTCCGCTTGTCACATCCCGCGACAGGACGATTATAATTGCTACTCGCGGCCCTCGGTGCTCCAGTGCCAACGCAAAGCATTCATTTCGACTATCGCGCAGCTATCTGACAATTAAAAAGTGCTCCACTTTGCCAACGCAATTTGCCAACGCCAACACATATTACATTCGGTAGCCGCAACTACAACCCGCCGTCACCGGCTTACAATTACGTTAATGATCTGAAGTCCTGATGTCTAAATGATACGACGAATTCGTGGCCGCGTGTAATAAAGGAAAGTGTAACTGAGAGGAACAACGTTTCGAAAGTATCTCATTTTCATTAGCATTTATGGTAAAGGTACCAATTCCCAGACACGTACCTAATCCTAGACATTCTTATTGTTTTGGTCTTTCAATAAGAATATTTAAACTTTCAACATAGAATGTATTTACGTACTCAATACTTGTACATATATTTTATGTTGAAAGTTTAAATATTTGTATTTAAAAACCAAAATACACAATAAGGGAGTCCAGGATTAAGTATGTGTCCGGGAATTGGCACCTTTACCTTACTCTCTCTTTCCCTCAGATTGGCCTGTTTCGCCAAACATTTACCGCGTTCGGCGTCATCTGGAACATGAAAGAGTTTCCATAAAAGAAAAAAAACTATTACTAGCACCATAGACTTAGTATATGTAGATTGCGGGCTGAACGAACGTCACAGAATAGAAAGAGATAGCATGCTTTTGGACTCTATCTTTTTCTAATGACACGTGGTGGGGTACTCCAGCTTCTCCTTATGTTTAGAGTGGGAATTTACATTGGTTCTCCTACATAGTATGTTTCCCTCGAAGCGTTACACACATATAAAATACTTTATACACATATAAAACATTTTATTATCACAATATATCGATAATTATTCTGATACGCTATATTATTTTTTTCCTCCATGCCTTTCAATTCCCTTTCATTCCTTTCCCTCATTCTTCTTATCCCCACTATGCGTCGTTAGAAAAAGACAGGATGGTGATCCAAAGCATGCTATCTTTTTCTATTCTGTGATGCGTTCAGCTATAGAAAACATTGAGAACACGCAGTCTATATATAATAAGTCTGTGACTAGCACTAAGAAGAAAGTAATAGAATCAACAAGACCTTGCTTGTACGAGCAGAATTTATTCGAGCAAACATTTGGTAAATTGAATAAATTATATAGTTGCTACATTTAGTAGTGAACCAGGCATAATCCCGAAAAGAAGGGTCGAAATTAAAAAAGTGGGATAATGTCACGAAAAATCATGATTCCCGAAACTGAATACCGGGACAATTTCCCAAAATACAATTTTCCCGAAATATCGAAATCATGCACAAATGAAAAGTCACAATCTCGAAAACAGTGGAAAGAAATATTGGAAGCATAAAATTGTTCAGCAAAGTTATATCAAAGTTGAGTTATTAGTTGATTCGATGATTGTAATTTCGTTCAGCAACTATATGAACGCAATTTAATGTTATGCGGATGCATAGTTTGTCCAGTGGGCATACAGGGTGTCTTAAACTCTCCCCCGCAATTTTTATGGAAATATAGAACGGATTGAGGTGAACATAAAAGTTTCGTGCCGTTTTTGTGATATATACAATAAATCTTGAGATATTAATTAAAGAAGATTAGTAAATAATCACGCGCGGTATGATAGATAAGCTGTAGTGGCGTCGTCTGCCGTTGTGTACTTATACATTAGGTTAAAATGAACAAAAAAGTCCTCTACCATTTTGTGAATGACCACATAGATACTTAGATATTAATTAAAGAAGATTTGTGCATTATCGCGCACAATCATGTAACAATTTTCTTTCATTAATAATTAAAAATGTACGTGGTTATTTGCAAAATGATAAAAGGCTCTTTTGTTCAATTTGACCTGATATATTATACACAGCACTACACATTGCCATTATGGCTCATCTACTATGTCGCGGGTGATCACTCTAATCTTTTAATGTTCTTTAATTAATATTTCGAGATTTATTACAAATTGGACTTTATCGTATGGGACTTTTATGTTTACCTCAATCCGCTCTATGCTCTCGCGAAATTTTAAAATGGTGATCTGGGATACCCTGTATAACATTTTTCTTTGTTTGAGTAGGATATACTTCTATACTTATAATGTTTGTCCATAAAAATCTACAATGTTCCTTTGGTTATGCTGTGTATAAAAGTACAGGAGTAAAATATTTGAAGAGAAGAGAGTGTATACTTCTCGAAATATTTTATATTTTATCTCTTTTACTACTTATTTTTATTTTATCACTTTTTCCAGCACGTTTTAGTGATTTTATCTGCCAATATCGTGAGTGATCATTTACCAGTTTTTTTAAATTAATATCTCGACTATTGTTGCGAATATCGCTAAACGGCATAGGAGAAACTTTTATGTTCACCTCAATCCGTTCTATAGTATGTTCTCACAAAAATTGTGAAGGGGAATCTCGGACACCCTGTATATCACAAATTTTTCAACGATTTGAATATTTTCAATCGACAGTCATCATTTTCAACGATAATGAAAATTTTAAAATGGTGGTCTGGGACATCCTGTATGACATTTTTCTTTGTTTGGGTAGGATACTTTTATATTTATTAATGTTTGTCCATAAAAATCTGCAATGTTCCTTTGGTTATGCTGTGTATAAAAGTATAGAGGAAAATATTTGAAGAGAAGAGAGTGTAAACTTCTTGAAATATTTTATATTTTATCCTTTTTACCACTTATTTTTATTTATTATCACTTTTTTCAGCACGTTTTAGTGATTTCATCTGCCAATATCGTCATTTTAATATTTTCAATGATGACTGCCGATTTTGTCGATCCATCTACTTTGTTTTCAATGTATCTAACAATTTTTTCAACATCTTTCAGCGCGTAATACTAATTTACTCTACGGATATATCAAATAATCTTGATTCACACGCTGTCTAATATAAATGTTTTGTGGCACTTCTTGAGCCACGGTGACAAGACGAGCCATTTCTCTTCGTGAACGTGTGCTTCAATCACCGCACTTTGTCCTCCTGGCATCGTTAGAAACGAACACTGTCGTTACGATAGAGATTGCTCTATTAGCACGTAAATGAACCCGTTCGATGTAATTGTCTTTCGCTCATGACCTAGGGATGCATTTGAGTCGAGTCATCAAAGGTGCGACGTGGTTTGTCTGGCGAAAGTTTCAACGATTAAAAATACGGAACAACGCATTTTGCAGCACGGCACTATGTTGTATATTGTAACACGACGCTGAAGAGTTTTACGAGCGAATACGAATTTCCAGCGTCTATCGGTCGCAGGAGCAGCAATTTTATAAGCTCGAGCCTGGCTCGCGCTCAACGAGACGCGGCTCAACGATCCGCGTAAAATCAATCTGCGATCGCGCCAACGATATCGTGCTCGAACGGTGACAGTAATATTAATTATTATTACTGTATTAATAATAATATTTTATTGGGCGCTTGGCTTACGAATTAACAGACAACGCATGAGTACATTTATTATAATTAATATAGCGCGGGGATATCGTATACCTTCTTCCATATAAATCCTTTTCAATTTTAACATGTTTTCTAAATGATGCAGCTACGGATTGTTAGTAGAATTTATTTTTTTAAGGAACATGGTAAATTTTTTTAAAATAATGAACTTGAGTCCCTGAAATGAAGTAGCATATATGAAACGAAAAGATAATAAATATAGGCAAAATATCGATATTTTTTTCGTGAAAATCCTATAAGTAATATTTACTACAAAAGTCTTTCCATGTAGTACAAAATTATATCACAGCTAAACCGACCAAAAGACGTGACAAGTACAAAGACGTGACAAGACATAGTTTTGCAGCTGATATTGTCGCCATATCTAAGACAAAGTACTTCGCAATTTTTGCATAAGAAAACATTATGAACAATGCATGAATACTTAATCATGTACAGGATATCAATATACAAGTCACTATGATGAGTTGCCTACTCGCTTCGTTGGCAAACACAGACTCTCAAACACAGATTCAGCACAGACTTGGCAGTATGTTCGTTTCTAAAACGATTTACACACGCTTTTTCACACTTCTCCACAATTTTTATTGAGAAATGTGAGTGCAAATCTTTTTCAAACCAATATACCGCATAATTCGCGCTGAGTCTGCGTTCAAGCGCACGAAGTTTGCCAACGAAACGAGTAGACAATCCGCTATATTGACCTGAATATTGATGTAATACATTATATATTAACCCTGAAGTAAAACGAATTAGTGACTAAGTAACCTTGTCGTGAGAATAAATAAATTAATTAATAATGCACATATTTAAAAAAAAACTAATTGCACAAAATTAATCTTGTTTGAATATTTGGGGTTTAACTGTATTATATTTGGGGGT